AGTAGAGAGATCGTGTGGTTGCTCTTTTTGATCGTATTATATACTATTATATGGGTTGGCTGTTATGTTTAATCAACTAAATTAGTCGGCTTAACATAGTAGTTTACCAATCTATACTATTTCGCACGTACGTTTGTACGTACTACGCATCTCGCATGATTATTCCAAATGCACATCAAGTTTTAACCCTAAAATGTCTAGATGAAATGCGAATGTTAAATTAAAACTAAAATTTTTGACATTAATGTACTGTACGTAACAATCATCTTTTCAATCAAAACAATGGCTTTTTCGACTTGGCAACCTATTCTAGCTAAAACAACAGAAGTTACTAAAACAGCAGAAGTTACTAATTTTTTTTATGATCTTTCCAATGATTTTTTACATCTATTTGAAAATGAAGATGATTATGATATTACAATTCAAGCTGGTGATGAGTCATATTTTGAAGAATTTAAAGCTCACTCCGTCATTTTACGAGCTAGATCCCCATACTTTAAAACTGCTTTATCCGATAAATGGGCCAAAAACAAAGAAAATGCTTATTGTTTTCAAAAACCAAACATCTCTCCAACTGTGTTTCTTTTAATTCTGCGGTATATTATGAATTTCTATATCTATATATATCTATATAGTCGGCTCTCTCTAAGTGCAGCTCGCCGGGATTTAGAAAAATTTCTTAAGTAAAAAAAAAATCATGCACTTAAAGAAATCCTGTATTTAGAGATTATATGTTTATTATAACCTTATATAGGTTGGGACCGAAGCTAAACCTTTAATTTAGAGAAAATTTAATATGACCAGCATTTGAGAACATGCATTTAGAGAGAGTCGACAGTATATTTATTTATATAAAAACTTTTAAACTAATCATGAAAATTTAAAGATATATTTATACAGGAACTCTTGATTTAAAAGATCAATCTTGGTCTAATATCTTCGCTCTTCTTATTGCTGCTGACGAATTATTGCTTGATCGATTGGTTGATTACGTGCAAAAATATGTAAGGCTATTATATCTACATACACAAAACGGTTATTATTTTAATATAATTTACAACATAGATTTATATCATAAAACTGTAAATTTAAAATTATATGTAGCTTATTGAAAACGGATCGACTTGGCTTGAAGAGAATTTTACTATGGTTATGTCTACCGTCTTTAAGATTCAAAGTTTTAAAAAGATCCAATCTTACATTACAACAAAACTTGCTCCACCAGTAAATTCATATCTCGATATTCTTGAAATTCTTAATATTGCTGATAAATTGGCTCTAGACAATTTAATTGAACGGATTAAACAATCTGTAAGTCTACATTACATAACATATATATAATTTAATTTATAAGTTATATAACGATCAATTAAACATTCATTTAGTTTATTAGAAATGAACCTTCTTGGTTTAAAGAAAAATTTGTTGATTTCTTGTCCGAGGTTACTAACCTTAAAAGATGTGAGAAAATTCAAGATTCAATTATAAAAATTATTAAGGATCAACAAATCTCTTGGCTTAAAGAAAATATATTTGTATATTTATGGGATATCAAAAATTTTAACAAATTTAAGAAAATTCGAGATTGTATCGTGGAGACTGTCTGTATAGATCCAGATCCATTATTATTTGAGTTAGAAAATTTTCCAACATTAGAAAAAGACATTTTTTTGGAATTTATTAAGAGAGAAGATCTAATTATTGAAGAGATCGATCTTTGGAATTATTTAGTGAAGTGGGGAACGGCTCAATTCATTTCTTTATCTGAGGAAAAACCTGTCAATGCAGATGTCACTAGCTGGGGAGAAAACGAATTTTTATTATTTAAAACGAAAATAGAACCATTTATAAATTATATTCGATTTTGTGAAATTTCACGGGTTGAATTTTATTACCATATTTTGCCTTTTGAAAAAGCATTGCCAGAAGATCTTTATAAAGAATTAGTTGCTTATTTCATAGCCGATATTAAACCACAACTTGTTTGCTTGCAACCACGTGTCGAAATGACTAGTATTGACTCTGTTATCATTAACAAGAAAAATGCACGAACCATTGTCAAGTGGATCAAAGGGATAACTGCTTTTAACAAACAACCTTCTTACGAGTTTATATTTTGTTACCGAGCGACCCACAATGGATTTAATTTCAAAGAACTTAATGACAAGCTTTACATTCGTTCACGAGTTATGTTGATTAAGATTAAAGATTCTGATAGAATAATTGGTGGATACATTAGTAATTACAATCGTAATAGTTATAATAATAGTAGATTTAACACATATTATACAGATCCTAATGATGATGGGTTTGTTCTCATTTTTGGAAGTGGAATAGATTCTAATTGTAAGATTCCTTGTCGTGTGATGTTTAATAGCAGTTATGGATCTCTACCATCGATAGATTTTGATTTTGGAAGACACTTGAAATTGAAAAGAGGGTATGAACCTAAAAATAACATTTTAATTAATTTTGATGATACGAATATTACTGCTGAAGAAATTGAAATATTCGAAATTAAAATCAATAATTAACTTGATTGCTTATTATTTTACATGTTATTTAAAAAAAATTTAAACCTTTGTGAATTTGTATAAATAAATTATAAAAATTTATATTAGTTTCTAACTATAGGTATTAAGTACACAAGTTTATTAGTTTTCGGTTAAATTGCACGTACTATTAAATTATTTAAAAGATATTTATATTTTATTAACTTTGCCATAATCTCTTTTAACTATATACCAATTTAAAAATAATTCTTTTTTACATTTAGCATTCCGAGTGCTTTAAACATTGAACACTAGTATGTGTATTTGCAATTAATAATATCACTATCAAATGAGGGGCATTATTATCGCTCTTTTCGATTTAGTTGGATATGCCAATTTTGCAGATCATTTTTTATGAGTCCCGTGAGTCCCGTGAATCCCACGATTATGTTATAGATAACTACCTTTTATTCGTCATATTCTGTGGAACTCATTTAAAAATTAGTGAT